GAGCTGCTGCTGCTTTACTGGGTGCCGGCACCACTTCATGGGTCGCCACAGCCGCCACCGCTTCATCAGGCCGCTGTTACGCGTGCAGCCACCGCTTCACCCAGCGCTGGTACTGCTTCACTGGGTCACCACCGCTTCAATGGCCGCTGTCGCACGCACTGCTGCTGCTTCACCTGGTGCCAGGACTGCCTCCACAGGCGTTGCTGCCGGTTCACCGGGCTGTTGCTGCCATGGGTGGTGCCAGGAGCATGGCAGTTCAGTTTTTCCTGGCGCCTCTGGGACCAGGGCACCTAGTTTAAAGTCAGCACCCCAGCCAGAGCTAAAAAAAACGCTGTCTTTCCAAGCCGAGGTTTTTTTCTCTTCTCCAGGGACGGTTCTATGAGCAATCTCAGCTTTTCTTTCATTTCCCCTGGACTCGCGGCAGCACCCCACCACTAGCTGGTTTATTACTCACTGCAGCTGCACCCAAGCTGGGTTCCCTCCCTTCCCTCCGTGTCTCTGGGTCCTGTCCGCTTTTATCTTCCCCAGTTCACACTCACGCACTTATGAGGTTTCCTTCCCAGTATACTCTGTCTCTTTCTCTTCCCAAACTCCTGTGGCCAGTGTCCTACGACTTCAGGCCTTCTCTGTTTGAGAGATGGGTGAAGGCAAAATGTACGGAGCTCTTTCCTTCTCCCCATCTTGCCTCCAACTCCACAAACTGTATTTTTAAAAAAGGTGTTGTTATTATACACAAATTATACGACACTGAAGCTGTAGGAAATATGTAATAGGCAGCACTTCAAAATTTTATTTTGCTGGCAAACACATTGCAACTGTGTTTTAATAGTAAGAATTTATTAGGCCAATGTAAAATAGAAAAATTAAGAAAATGCAAATTTATAGTAGAGAAGTCAAAGGCTTCTATTGTACATTCACAAAGTACCTGGATAAAAATCCTTTGGAATATCTCCAAAATATGCCCAAAATTCATGGAAGAATGGGAGAAAGTAAAAACAAAAAATGTACTAGAGACACAATGAGATTCTTCTATAGAAAGATGTTTACAGATATGGATATATCTGAGAGTGATGGGCAGCTGCTATTATAATAATGTGGGATTATTATTCCAAAAAATATATACATTATTGTTCACTTTTGGATGTGTTCTTTCAATGTTCACTTTGACTTTGAATCACAGCTCAAAATGTCAGATTTCTGAAGTACATAAAGATTTGCATAATCAGGTGATCTTGTGTATGTTGATAATATCTGTGATTTTACGTTACTTGAACACACATCTCCAAATGGCCAATGAAAGGCATTCATGTTTCTATTTCATGGTACTGTGCCAAAATCAATAGCAACTCTGAAAATTAATTTCTAAAAGAATACAAAATTCCTGAATATGGTCACCAAAACAATAGAATGCATATCATTCTACAAAACCTAGATTTAGAAATATTTTAGGAGTAAAACACTCACAATGCAATTCATACTAATTCACATGCCAAGTTTAATTCTGTGTTAATGAACCTGTCTAGAAAATAGCCTCTGAAATCTATCACATTTTCGTCTTCAGCTTTCAGAGATGAGTTCACAAAAATGGGTAATGGTGGGAAATATACACTTTTCTGAAAAGGAAAACAGTAGCTGTCAGCACAATGGTTGGTCATGGGGATAGATGCACCAAGGACAGAGGCCGTCTTGTCACGAAGGTAAAACATCTTGAGCTGTGGGCACTCTTGGGGCATTTGGCAGCTCTCTGGCTCCTGATATCAGTGGTTGACTCTTAACGAGATTAGATACAATTGGGCCAATAACGCTAGGCTCTCACAGTCAATGGCCATGAGAAGATGGGGTGGGAAATGCAAAACAAGTGAATTTATGGAAAAATTCAGAGATGAAGTAGGGAGAGAGAGCAGAACTTACCTGTGAGAGGCAGCCTAGGTAGAGGGGGAAAATTCTAATAAAGAGGATCAGGAATTTTCTTCCTTCATAATCTCAAAAGAAAGAGAATTGATTCTATTTAGATTGGAGGGATTCATGTGGAATGATTCTGCCTCAATGCAAGGGTTATTCGTAACTACAAGGACTTTCCAGATCACACTCTAAGGATCTGGTACCTGCCAATCTAAAGAAATCTACTTATCTCTATGGTGTTCCCTGTCTGTTTGTCTCTCTCACTCTCCTAGGGGCACAAGTTTTGCTTTCCAATGATAGAGTGAAATACTCACACTGGGAATCAGGTATTTCAGTAGATTCAAACAATCCAATCCTAAGGACATTCAGAACTCTTCTTGTTTTGAGTAAATCAAAACTCTGCACATAATTGGCTAAAGAAAGGATAACAATTCATTCACCTCCTGATCATGTCACTCCTCATGATTTTCCTATTGTAAATGTCCAAGAAGGATGTGACCGCTTAGTTTCTGCTGGGCTTATCAGGCTCCTATCAACACAGTTAGACATAGAACCCCTGGAGGTATCCTCAAAGACCAGAGCCAAAGAGCTGATTCAGAAGTTGCTAAAAGTCAACAAACCAAGAAGCACAGAGCACAAAGAACATTTCAATTTTTAACACTCCAGTTACCAACACCAGTGATCCAGATACCACTGATAACAGGGCCACCAAACTTCACAAATAGGAACAATGCGCTGATAGGAAAACAAACTACATATAAGATGGACTCTGAACTTATAAAGCCTGAAGCAGGATCTGGACAGGGCTTCCAGGATCCAGTCTAATACCCATGGTTTCTATTACATAAGAGTTCCTGACATTTTTGGGGTGCCTGGACGGTTCAGTCAGTTAAGCGTCTGACTTCGGCTCAGGGCATGATCTCATGGTTCATGAGTTCGAGCCCCGCGTCAGGCTCTGTGCTGACAGTTAGCTCAGAGCCTGGAGGCTGCTTGGAATTCTGTATCTCCCTCTCTCTCTGACCCTCCTCTGCTCACGCTGTCTCTCTCTCTCAGAAATTTAAAAAAAAAAGAGTTCCTGACACTTTTAAAAACAACTTTAATGAAATAATTCACACATCCTAGAAACACCTACTTAAGACAATCAGCTCAATAGCTTTTAGTATCTTCACAAATCCTTCCTACTATAAACTTACTGTGTTCAGGTTTCCATCCTATTCACACTGCTCTTTTTGGACCATGCACAGACAAAACCCAGCACTTGATGTGGATAGCTGTGGCCACAACCACTTCAGGCTGGTGGAGGAGAAACCTGCCCTGTGGTCCTGTTGGTCTTCAGGAAGAAAGGAAGTTCTGAAGTTCCCATAAAAAACCCCATGGAAAAGATATTGTTTAACCATGATGTGAAAGAACTCAGGAGGAAGGAAGAACCCACCAATGTCCCAAGTTTACTCACATTTGTATTTGGGTGACTGGGACACAAGGATCCAGAGAAACAGCCTCTGCACCTTCATGTGCTGGTCATTTAAAGCATCTCTAGTGTTTCAGGCAGGAATTGGGGACGGGGGATGGGGTAGGTGAGCAAGGGAGGAGTGGGGAGGGTTGGGAAAGGGGATGGCGTGATAATTGAGGACAGGGATAGGGAGGAGTATAAAAGGGGTGGGGTTAGGGAAGGGGGTGTGTCAGGAGAAGGGGGTCAGGGACAGTACCAGAATCACATCAAGTACAAGAGGGGAGGGAGAAGAGTTCAGACAGGTTAGTAGGTCAATAAGTCAGTAAATCACTAGGTGAGTAGGACACAAACAGCAGATTAAGTGGACTCTCAGGAGCAGATGGAGCAGAGAAGAATCTTTCTTCTTCTAAGCCCTCACCTGTTTGGGTGTTGCCTTAGCAACCCAGAATATTTATATTCTCTCTCGACCAATCAGCTGCCTTTACCCCTGGTAGAGAACTATGGACACCCCATGTGACCTCATTTTTAAAAAGCCCCTTCGTGCCTGGTGCACCATCTCCCGCCATCCCAGTAACAGTTCTTGTCTGGAAACTTGGCAGACCTTCTGGTTTATGGGCTTTCCCAACCCAGCTCCCTCTCACCTCTTCTGGGTTCTCTCTCCTTCCTTTCTGAACTCCCATCTCCCATGGGCAATAGTTGAACAATAGAGAATGCAAAGGAGGACAGAACTGCAAGAACAATCATATACACAAGCAGAGAGGGAGGTTTAACCCTCTCTCAGTAAGTAAAAGCATGTAGAACATTCATAAGATATAGATCTTGATAGCAAACTAGCTGAATCCCACAGCTGTCCCATTATAAGCGTCCACATGGACATAACGCTGTGGAAGACACATTGACTTCAGGCACAGAGGATACAGTCACAAAAATTCACCCTATTTATTATGGCCATAAGGGAAATTTCAAAGGAACGAAATTATTTCAGAGGAATGAAATCAAACAGAGCATGTTTTGGTAGTAGAATGTGCTAGAAATCACTAATGAAAGGGTAAGTTGAAATTTCCGTATGTTTAGAAATTGAGAAGTTTTTCTATAAGTAGAATATGAGTCAAGAAATGTCAAAGGAAAAGAGCTATATTTGAACTGACTGATATGAGCTCAATATCAGCATTTTTATTGTAATAGAAAATGTCTCCTGGCGTGGAATATCCTAGAATATTGGTGTGAAAAGGTTGTCTGGTCCCCAAATCATCTCTAATTTACCTAGACATTTTAACACCACAAACAGTGGTAGATCTGTCACTTATCTGTGTAACCCTCCTACCTATTAGCATGGGCCATACATTAGGAACCTTACGGCGGGGGGGGGGGGGGAATCCGGCTGACTCACATGGGGTCTCCTGCGATCTCCAGGAATGGGAGCATTTTAAGAGATATAGTTCATCAGCTTCTCTCCTGAGGGACCTGGGACAACACCCAGATTTTTGGCAGCACTAGGTGTGCAGGGTGGTGAGGGCCAAGCAGGTGGGCAGGGGCCATGGACCCAGGTGACTAGACAAACCCACCCGTGATCATCTCTTCTGGGCTCTGTCTAGAGCTGACCTTTCTAAATAGTTTCTCTACATGATTGACACATGTTTCCCCAACTCATTCATGCACAAGCCAGCAAAAAATCATTGCTCTGAATCTCCTCACTTTTATTATTATATAAATTTATTGTAACAGGAACTATTCTGGCACTGCTAAAACAGCAAAGCAAGGTCTCCAACCTAAATACAAAGAAACCATAGAAAAACAAGCAAAACTAAAACAAAAGATGAGTAAAAAACCAATAGTGTTAAATTCCCTTTAGATAATGCTGCCTGCCTAAATAGAGCCCCCAGTTGGGCTGTCCTGGTTATAGGAGAAGAGACCAGCTGCAGAAGGGGTGGAGTCCAACTGGCCTAAAACTGAATGGGAGAGAGGCCCTGACTATAAGGGGGCCTAGGGAATTCCATGAAGAGTGGCCAGGGTCACCCCGATTATAACCGGAGCAGGGACCAGGGGAAGAGGAACCAGTGAACAGAGTTTGGGGGGGCCTCAAACAAGTGAGATCATTCACGGAGGTGAGGAAGTACCCCCAAAGCCAATGTCAGCCTCTCATCTCGGGAGCCCTTTGTGGCCCCTGGGGGAAGGGCTAGGAACCTAGAGTTTGAGGTCCAGCTGTGCTGCTTGCCAGCTGTGTGACCCTGGGCTGGTTTCCATCAGCAAAATAGGCATGTCCATGTCTGTGTCCAGAACTGTGTTGAGGACAAGAGGAAGCCTTGTGCTGAGCATTTGTGGGTATCAGCATTATCACCTCCATGGGTCAAGTGTCTTCCCAGTCTGGTGCCTTAAAGTTGCACAACTGTTAAAGGTCACAAAGGTGAAAACCAGAAGCCCCTCCTGTTTCAGGCCTGTGCTAAGCCTTTTCTTTTGCAAACATGACTTCTTGGGACCCAGAGGTCAGTACATCTATAACCCCTTGCACAGATGGGGAACCAGGCTCAGAGCCCTCACAAGAGACTGGACCAAGGCTGAGAAAAGTCCCACTTCTAACTTGGGTCTGGGAGGGGACGTTGGGAGAGCAGGAAGCTGGGGCCTGGAGACTCCAGAGGGAACAGGGGCCACAAAAATGCTTGGCCCCACAGCCCAGCTTTCCTCCAGGTCAGCTTGTACAGAAGATGAGGCCAAGTCAGGCAGCAAGGTCACATCCCGGCTCCTCCACCTCAGGCTGATGGTCATTCATCTCTGTGGTTATGATAATGTTGTCATATACTAGTCCTGATGATGTCGTTAGTGCTATTGTTGCTGTGGAAGAGGGTACAGCCCACTTTAACACACCCCAAGGGTCCTGGGGAGACTGATCTGGCCCTATGCAACACCATCACTTTAAGGGTACCCTGTCTCTACCCTGTGCCCCGTCCCTATGGCCACCCTACCCTGGCCACTGCCTGGAATCCAGGCCTAGGCACAACCCTCCATAAGGCACTGACATGGGGCAGATGCCCAGCACGGGGTTGGATCTAGGAAAACACCCCTTCCATGACAACTTAGATGGGACAGGTCATGCCAGGGTCTGTGCTGCCCTCCTTGTAGTGGCCTCCACTGGAGTGCCAGAACTGTCCTAGAGCAAGTGTGTGTGTGTGTGTGTGTGTGTGTGTGTGCGCGCGCGCGCGCACGCGTGCAGGTGTGCGTAATCTGCATTATGTCCCTGTGAGTTGGAGTTCTATGAGTATATTAACTATGGACATAAACTTCCTACCAATACGGCATGTCCCTCCTTTGCCCTTGTGCAGTCCCCCAGACAGGCTGGCACTATGTGGTGGCCTCACTAGGCTCCATGAAGAATGTCACATTGTCTTCTGACCTGGTAAGCTGGATGCAGCCCTGTGATGTGCTCTGACCAATGAAATGGGAGTGGGAGTGAAGTGTGCCATCTCGAATACAACACTTGGGAACAACTGCATCTGGCCGCCTCTCTGTCCATCTCTTATGGCACCTGGTATTTACCTATGTTGGGTGCTCTTTTATCCTCCTCTCAGGAAGACCATCATGGACATGTGGCATGAGCACGGAAGAGACTTCCTTCATTATAAGCTGTTAAGACTTTAGGACTATTTGTTACCTGCAATAACATCTAGTCCATCCTAACTGGTATGCATCCTCCTTTCTCCTCTCTATGAGGCAAGACAGCCTAACATTTGAAGCATGAACTCTGTTATGAGATACAGGTGGGTTGGAGTTCCAGCTCCATCCTTTCATTAACTCCAACTTCAAGCAATTTACTTGGAGTCTCTGAGCCTCCATTTTCACTCTGTGAAATGGATGGTTACACAATCTCAGGTTTGAAGGGGATTACATGAAATAATAAAACATGTAAAGCTGAGAGTCCAAGGCCTGGCACACACAGTGAATGCTCAATAAATGTTAGCTGTATCACTTTATGTCTTCATTGTAAACATTCATAAAACGCAGTAGTGTATTATTACAAAAGAAGGAAATGTTAAATTTTTGGCATATGTATCCTTTCAAATTGTGTTTCAATGAATGAGATATTATGTATGTTCACTGACAGCCTGCTTTTTTTTTCTCTAAGATATTGTCGTGATATTATATTGTTACAAATTAGAGATCTGCAGCATCTTTTTAAATTATAGGAACATCAAATACCATGATTAATTTAATCATTTCCTGATAGCTAGGAATTTCCATAGGCTGAATATGGCATTGTAAACAAATGAAGCAGAATAACAACTATCAGAATGTATTGTATGCTAGAATAAATATTACTTCATTAACTTTTATCTGTTATGTATCTATATGTGTATTGGGTTGCAATTTAGAATGTATTTCTTACTACAAATACTATTTTTAAAAAGTGTGGCAGTTGTCTACAGGAATTTCTTTTTCAGTTTTGAAAGAATACAAATAACCTTCTTGGATATTTGTAGGCACTTGTTTGTTTTTTTCTTTTAGGTTGACCTGCCAGTCATGAATTCCTTTGGGTTTTCTGACAAAGGATAGAGATTCCATCTAATTAAGTTGTCTCCCCCAAACCGCTAAGTTAAATGCTTCTCCTGGAGAGAAAAATGCTTATTCTGTCAGCTACATAAGCTTCACCCCAGCCACCCCAGGGGATTTGGGGCAGCAGAGCACCCCCACCTCAGGAACCACTGGTGGGGACCAGATCCAATCCATCTGCTCTCACTCACCTTCCTCGGGTACTTAGATGGGGCTGCTGTCACTGATGTCACATGCTGCTGCAGCTTCTGGGTGAACTGGTCCAGGTCATGGAAGAGGAATTCCATGGTCAGGACAATAAGTCTTCACCACTTGCAGTGTAGAACCAGAGTGGAGGCTCAGGGTGAGTGCCAACCAACTGTCTGGTTTAAAAGTAAATGTTTAGTAAATAAATGGAAAAACAACACTTGACTCAGTATGTGTTCATGCCAAGAATAAGCACATAGCTGCAACTATGGCTTCAATGTTATTAAATACAAAAAGTAAGCTTAAGTACACCGAGTTTTCCAGGGAAAATCCTCAAACAAGTTTAGCTTTTTCCCCTCAAACCATACAATTAAGTTTTGGACGTCAATGACTCAAACCAAATATTAGAGTAAAAACAAATAAAAAGTCACCCTCATCAAAAGAACAAAATGATAAGCCACAGACTGGGAGAAAATATTTGCAAACGACACACCTGTAAAGGACTGTTATCAAAATACACAAAGAACTCTTCAAACTCAACAGTCAGAAAACAACCTAATTGACAAATAGGGCAATGACCTTTTCAGACACCACACCAGAAAGACACACAGATGGCAAATAAGCATATGAAAATGTGCTCTACATCCTATGTCACAAGGGAAATGCAAATTGAAACAACTGAGAGGGAGCACCTGTGTGGCTCATTGGGTTGAGCATCCGACTTTGGCTCAAGATATGATCTCACAGTTCATGAGCTCAATCCCCACATTGCTGCTGTCAGCGCAGAGCCTGCTTTGGATTCTCTGTTCCCACTCTCCACCGTGCACTTCCCCTGGTCTGTCTCTCACTAATAAACATTACAAAAATAATAAAATAAAACAACACTGAGATACCACTACACATATTAGAATGACGGGAATGCAAAATGGTACAGCCACTTTGCAGACAATTCAAATGATCTTACAAAACTCTTCCCCTACAGTCCAATGATTATGCTCCTTAGTATTTATCCAAACAGTTGAACACTTTTATCTACACAAACACCTGTACATAGATGTTTCAAACAGTTTTATTCACCATTTCCAAAAGTGGGACTTAACTAAGATGTATGTTAATGGATGAATGGATAAGCAAACTGTGGCCTAGCTAACAATGGAATATTATTCAGGGCTGTAAAGAAAGAAGCTATCAAGCTCTGAAAAGACATGGAGGAAACCTAAACAGATTTTAAAAAGTGCAAGAAGCCAATCTGTAAAGTCTACATATTGTATCATTCCAACTATATGATATTCTAGCCAAGGCAAAATGGAGGAGACAGGGAAAAGGTCAGTGACTGCCAGGGCTTAGGGCAGAGGGAGGGGGAGGGATGAATAGGTGCAGCACAGAGGATGTTTAGGGCAGTGAAACTAGTGGGTATGATCCTATAATGGTAGACACATGTCATCATAAATGTGTCCAAAAACATAGAATGAACAACCCAAGAATCAAACCTAATGAAATCTATGGACTTTGGATGGTCATGATGAATCAATGTAAGTTCATTCATCTACTGTAATGAATATCCATCTCTGGTGGGAGACATTGATAGAGGGGAACTTATGCATATGGAGGGCAAGAGGCATATGGGAAATTTATGTACCTTTGACTCAAAGTTGCTGTGAACCTAAAATTGTTATTAAAAGAAAAAATCGGTGTGCCCAGGTGGCTCAGTCGGTTAAGTGTCTGACTTCGGCTCAGGTCATGATCTCACAGTTCATGGGTTTGAGCCCCATGTCGGGCTCTGTGCTGACAGCCAGCTCAGAACCTGGAGCCTATTTCAGATTCGGTGTCTCCTTCTCTCTGACTCTCCCCTGCTCACGCTGTCTCTGTCTCTGTCTCTCTCAGAAATAAATAAAACATTTAAAAAATTTTTTAAAAAAAGAAAAAAATCACAGAAAATTATCCTCAGACTTCTACTTCTTGAAAATCTCTGTTCTTAGTTCCATTTGTGTCTTCCCATGTTCTTTATGTACAGTCAAGCAAATCAGTATCTGTACCCCCTCTTATGCAAAGGTAACCAATCTGTATGCTAATTTTTACCTTAAAACAAGGTGAAATTCTGGGGATATGGTATAGGCATGTTTACTTTTACTAGACTGCCTCCTGTACCTAAATTGTTTATTTGTTGTTTCAGTTTTGGATTGAAATACAATCAACATACAGTGTTATATTATTTTCAGATGTACAGTATGAGGATTCAAAAATTCCGTACATTTCTCCGTGGTCCTCAAAATAAGTATACTCTCAATCCCCTTTATCTATTTCACCCATCCCTCACCCACCTTCACTCTGGCAACCACCATTTTGTTCTTTGTATTTCAGAGCCTGTTGTTTTGTTGGGGTATTTTTGTCTGTCTTTTTTGCCTTGTTCATTTGCTGTGGTTCTCCAACTGCACATATCAGAGAAATCATATGGTATTTTTCTTTATCTGACTACTTTCACTTAGAATTATATTCTCTAGTTAATAAATTGTTGTTTTACCAATTTCTACTTACACTTCCACCAGCAATGTCCAAGAATGTCTGTTTCCTGGGAGTCTTGCTGACAGTGTGATCAAACTTGTGCATTTTCTGTGTAGCTAGGAGGTGAAAATGACATCTTAATTAGTTTTCATCTGTATGAAATCAAAACACCAAAGCGTTTCCCTTAGTAGTTCCCATAACTGGACAGAGTACACTAGGACCTGACTCTTCCATTCATTTTTGAGCTTTTCTTATACTTGCTACTGTCCTTTTTCAAACTGCAATGAGTTAAAGCCCATTCAAGGGACTCTTCAGGCAGGCAATTTCATCTAAATACAACTGAATATTTTTGTTTCCATCCCTGTTTTGGTTCCATTTTAGTTTAGTTTAGGTTTTTGTTTTGATCCTTCTTAATGGTTTTTATTTCTGGAAAGACATTGGTTTTGACTTTGTATCAGTGATCCAAACTTTACATTTATAATAAATTTTCTGGTGTTTTTTATTATATGCAAATTATATTTACTTTAAGTTTCTCATTTTAATTGCAGTATAGTTACCATGCAACGTTGTGTTAATTTCAGTTGTCCAATAGAGTGAATCAACAATGCTATGCATTACTCAGTGCTTATCATGATAAATGAACCTTTTAATTCCCATCACGGAATTCACCCATCTGCCTCAGGCAACTCCCCTCTGGTAACCATCAGTTTATCCTAAATAGTAAAGAGTCTGTTTCTTGATTGTTTCTCTCTCCTTTTTTTGCCACCCTTTGTTTGTTTTGTTTCTTAAATTCCACACATGAATAAACTCATACTGTATTTATCTTTTTCTGACTGGCTTATTTCACTTAGCTTTATACTCTCTAGTTTCATCCATGTTGTTGAAAAAGCCAAGATTTCATTCTTTCAGGGGCGCCTGGGTGGCTTAGTCGGTTAAGCGTCCGACTTTCGCTCAGGTCAAGATCTCGCGGTTCGTGGGTTTGAGCCCCGCGTCGGGCTCTGTGCTGACTGCCAGCTCAGAGCCAGGAGCCTGTTTCAGAGTCTGTGACTCCCTCTCTCTCTGACCCTCCCCTGCTCACGCTGTCTCTCTCTGTCCTAGAAATAAATAAAAAACATTAAAAAAATTTTTTTAAAAAGATTTCATTCTTTCATTCTTTTTATGGATGAATAATATTATATTGTATTACACACACACACACACACAAACACACACACACACCACTTTTTTACCCATTCATACAAAAGACAATCTACTGAAAGGGAGAAGACATTTGCAAATGACATCTCTGATAAAGGAATTATATCCAAAATATATAAAGAACTCAACACCCCAAAACCTATAACAGATCTTAATTTTAAAGAGTGATGATATTTAAAGCAATACTTCTTAAGCTGTCATGAACCTGAATGACTTGTGGAAAGTGTCAATCATGCTGAATATACGCCAGTAAGCTCAGTCAGAACAGGGCCCAGAAGACATAATCAGGAGTGGGGTTTGCTCTAGTCACCTGAGTCCCTTGGCCCCTGCCCACCTGCTGGCTCTCATTACCCAACACTCCTGGTGCCAGAAGCTCTCAGAGTGTTGTGGAGAAGTCCCTGAGAGACAAATTTGAACTCTCTGACTAAAAATAACAAGCTTCATGGATCTCCACACAGATCAAGCATGAAAGTCAGCTTGGGATGTCCCTCATTTATTTGCATACTTTAAAGCCCACACTAATACCACACTAGTGAGGTGATCAACATAAGTGACTTTTCCACAGATGTTCAAAGTGTTCATAAGGGATGATTTGAAGACCATAAATCTTTCTACCGAAAGGGAAGGCCAGAAGGAAGTGTATTTTAATGCCATGTTTTCATCATCATTTTCATTCAATTCAGAAATGCTACCCTTTCAAAATTTAAAAACAAAACCATTTAGGGGCACCTGGGTGGCTCAGTCAGTTAAGTATCCGACTTCAGCTCAAGTCATGATCTCAGAGTCCGTGGGTTCAAGCCCCGCGTCAGGCTCTGTGCTGACCGCACAGATCCTGGAGCCTGATTCAGATTCTGTGTCTCCCTCTCTCTCTGCCTCTCCCCCCACTCACTCTCTGTCTCTCAAAATAAAATAAAGACAAAAAGACACTGCTAGGATTTTTTTTTAAAAAAAAATAAAAGTCTACTATTCAATTTCTAAACATATGGGGAAATTCTAGCTATCACTTCTTCATTTATCTAGGACATTTACAATTATGATCAAAGAACATCCTCTCTGGGTTTCATTCTTTTGAAATATATTTAGACTTGCTTTATGGCCAAACTATGGGAAAGGGGAGAGAGGGAAACAAACTACAAGAGACTCTTAACAATGGAGAACAAACCAAGGGTTGATGAAGGGAGGGAGGTGAGAGATGGGCTGGATGTGTGATGGGTATTAGGGAGGGCACATGTGATGACGATTAGATGTTGCCTGTAAGTGGTGAGTCACTGAATTCTACTCCTGAAAACAATATTGCACCCTTATGTTAACTAACTAAAATTTAAATTAAAAAACTATTAACTTTTTAAAAGATATCATGTATTCTTAAAAAGATGTGATACATCACAACAACAAAAGAAAAGATAAAAACCATATGATCCTGTCAATAGATGCAGAAAAAGCATTTGACAAATACAGCATCTCTTCTTAATAAAGACCCTAGAGAAAGTCGGGATAGAAGGAACTTACTTAAACATCATAAAAGCCATCTATGAGAAGCACTCAGCTATCATTATCCTCAACGGGGAAAAACCAAGAGCTTTCCCCCTGAGATCAGGAACACGACAATGATGTCCACTCTCACCACTGCTGTTTAACGTAGTGCTGGAAGTCCCAGCATCAGCCATCAGACAACAAAAGGAAATCAAAGGCATCAGAATTGGCAAAGAAGTCCTCAAACTTTCACTTTTCACAGACAACATGATATTCTATGTAGAAAACTGGACAGACTCCACAAGAAGCCTACTAGAACTGATCCAAGAATTCAGCAAAGTTGCAGGGTACAAAATCAACATGCAGAAATCGGTTGCATTTTTATACACCAACAATGAAGCAACAGAAAGAGAAATCAAGAAACTGATCCCATTCACAATTGCAGAAAAAAACCATAAAGTACCTAGTAATAAACCTAACCAAGGATACAAGAGATCTGTATGATGAAAACTATAGAAAACTTATGAAGGAAATTGAAGAAGATACAAAAAAACGGAAAAATATTCCATGCTCATGGATTGGAAGAATAAATATAGTTAAAATGTCATGACTACCCAAAGCAATCTACACATTCAATGCAATCCCAATCAAAACTGCACCAGCATACTTCTCAAAACTAGAACAAACTATCTGGAAATGTGTATGCAACCACAAAAGACCCCGAATAGCCAAAGTAATACTGAAGAATAAAACCAAAACCGGAGGTATCACCATCCCAGACTTTAGCCGTTACTACAAAGCTGCCATCATCAAGACTGTATGGTATTGGCACAAAAACAGACACATAGACCAATGGAATAGAATTGAGAACTCAGAATTGGACCCAAAAATATACAGCCAACTAAGCTTTGACAAAGCCGGAAAGAGTATCCAGTGGAAAAGACAGCCTCATTAACAGATGGTGCTGGGAGAACTGGACAGCAACATGCAGAAGAATGAAACTAGATCATTTTCTCACACCATACACAAAAATAAACTCAAAATGGATAACGGACCTGAATGTGAGACAGGAAACCATCAAAACCCTAGAGGAGAAAGCAGGAAACAACCTCCTTGACCTCCACTGCAGCAATTTGTTACTGGACACATCACCAAAAGCAAAAGAATCAAGAGGAAAAATAAACTATTGGGACCTCATCAAGATTAAAAGCTTCTGCACGGCAAAGGAGACAATCCATAAAACTAATAGGCAACCGACGGAATGGGAAAAGATAGTTGCAAATGACATATCAGATAAAGGGTTAATATCCAAAATCTATAAGGAACTCACCAAACTCCACACCTGAAAATCAAACAACCCAGTGAAGAAATGGGCAGAAGATATGAACAGCCACTTCTCCCAAGAGGACATCCAGATGGCCAACAGACACATGAAACGATGCTCAGCGTCCCTCCTCATCAGGGAAATACAAATCAAAACCACACTGAGATACCACCTCCCGCCGGTCAGAGTGGCTAAAATGAGCAAATCAGAGAACTCTAGATGCTGGCGAGGATGTGGAGAAATGGGCACCCTCCTCCACTGTTGGTGGGAATGTAAACTGGTGCTGCCCCTCTGGAAAACAGTGTCGAGCTTCCTCAGGAAAATAACAATAGAACTCCCCTATGACCCAACAGTAGCACGGCTAGGAATTTACCCAAGGGATACAGAAATGCTGATGCATAGGAGCACATGTACCCCAATGTTCATAGCAGCACTCTCCACAATAGCTAAAACATGGAAAGAGCCTAAGTGTCCATCAACAGACGAATGGATCAAGATGCTGTGCTTTATCTATATGATGGAATACTACATGGCAGTGAGAAAGAATGAAATTTGGCCATGTGTAGCAACGTGGATGGACCTTGAGGGTGTTATGCTGAGCGAAATAAATCAGGCAGAGAAGGACAAATATCATATGTCTGCACGTATAGAAGGATTAGGAGGAACTTAACGAAGGACCATGGGGGAGAAGAAGGGGAGAAATGGTGGGGGAGAGCGAGAGAGGCAAACCATGAGAGACTCTTGAATAGTGAGAAGAAACTGAGGACTGATGGGTATAGGGGAGGTGGAGGGGAGAGATGGGCATGGAGGGGGGCACTTGTGGGGATGAGCACTGGGTGTTATATGGAAACCAACTTGACAATAAACTATTTGTAAAATAAATAAATAAATACATTAATTAATTAATTAATTTTAAAAAACTAAAAAAAGAACGTATCCCCAGGCAGCAGAGTCCTACATAGGGCTCTGTGCTGGCAGCTCAGAGACTGAAGACTGCTTCGGATTCTGTGTCTCTCTTGCTCTCTGCCCCTCCCCCACTCAGTTTGTCTGTCTCTCTCTCCCTCTCAAAAATAAATAAACCTTAAAAATTCTTAATAAAATTTTATAAAGTGTAGAGACAGTTTATGGTTAGTATCTCACTTTGTTCTTTCTCATTTCTTTTTTAAAAATATTTTATTTTATTTGTGTGAGAGAGACAGTGTGGGTAGGGGAGGGTCAGAGAGAGAGGGAGACACAGAATCTGAAGCAGACTCCAGTCTGTGAGCTAGCTGTCAGCACAGAGCCCCACGCGGAGCTCGAACCCACAAACTGTAAGATCATGACCTGAGCTGAAGTCAAAAGCTCAACTGACTGAGCCACCCAGGCACCCCATGTTCTTTCTCATTTCTGAATAGCCTTTCTCAATAGTCTATTGAATATAAGAACAGTTTTCCATCACTCACTTGTAGATTCCAGAGGTCAGAGATGTGGCTTGTTTTTTGCTCCATTAGCACAGTGTGTAAACAAGATAACACAAGACAAAGGTCTGTTGAATGAATGTCTAATACAGAAGACAGTCTCTATATAAAGGATTGAACTATAGAACAGGCCCCATTTTCAAAAACACATTTACAAGAATACATATGCATCCTTCATGTTGCCCTCTGTTACATCAACCATGATTTCAAAAACAGAAACAAACACAAGGATGTACTATGAATACAGTCCTGGATTGGCAGGCCCATAGGAAACTAA